CTCCGAAGTGACCTATAAACATAAGAGAAAGAGGACTGTGTTTAAAAAGTAATTATAAGCAACTTCACCTGAATCACAATCTGTGCTTCTGTACCACGTTTATGGATTGGGAGACTCATTATCGTCGAGATGTCAATTCTCCCCAACCTGATCTACGGATTCCACGCAACCCCACCTAAAATCCCAGCAGGCTTTCTTCATAGAAATCAACAAGCTGATTCTACAACTGTATGGATAAGTAAAGGAATTAAAGTAAGCCACACAACTTTAGAAAAGAACAAAGTTGGAGGACTCTCACTACCTGATTCCAAGCCTTCCTGTAAAGGTACAACACTCAAGATAGTTTGGTATTAGTAGGATCTCACTTAGATATGGAATCTTAAAGGGGGGGGCAGATGAAATGGGTATGGGGGTTAAGAGGCACAAATTTCTAGGTATAAAATAAATAAGTCATGAGAATATAATGTGCAGCCTGGTGACTATACTTAATACACCGTATTGCCTATTTGAAGGTTGCTAAGAGAGTAAATCTTAAAAATTCCTCATTACAAGAAAAAAAATTTTTTGGTAACTGTCTGGTGACAGACATTAACTAGTCTTATTGTGGTGATCATTTTGTAATACATACAAATATCGGATCATTATATTCCATGCCTGAAACTAATATACTGTTATATGTCAATTATACTTCTTAAAAACGTGTGGTATTAGGGGCACCTGGCTGGCTCAGTCAGAAGAGCATGCAACTCTTGATCTCGGGGCTGTGGGTTCAAGCCCCACGTTGGGTGTAGAGATTGCTCAAAAATAAAATCTTTAAAAAATAAATAAATAGGCAGATAGATAAAAGGTGTGGTATTAGCAAAATGAGAGACATGGAGATCAGTGGAACAGAAGATGGAGTCCAGAAACAGACCCACACATACATGGTCAAATGACTTTGAACAAATGTGAGAAGGCAATTCAATAAGCAGCAAAAGTCTTCTCACATATGGTGCTGGCACAATTCAACCTCCATATGCAAAGAGAGTGGTCCTCAATCCATACTTTGTACTACATAAAAAAAAATTTAACTTGAAATTATCTAAGTGTACAACCTAAAACTATAAAACTTCCCAAAGAACACACAGGAAAAACATCTTTGTGACCTTGAGTTAAGCAAATAAGTCTTAGATAAGACATGAAAGGCACAAATCATAAAACAACAAAATTTATGAACTTCATTGAAAGTAAAAACATCTGCTCTTCAAGACTTTGTTGAGAAAATGAGAAGATAAGCCACAGACAGGGAGAAAATATCTTGCAAAATACATATCTGATAAAGAAATGGCATCTGGGGCACCTGGGTGGCTCAGTCCATTGGGCGCCCGACTCTTGATTTTAGCTCAGATTTCGTGATCTCAGGGTCAGGAGATCTAGCCCTGCCTCGGGCTCCGTGCTGGAGCCTGCAGAAGATTCTCTCTCCCTCTCCCTCTGCCCCTCCCCCACAACCACGGCACCGCTCACGCACATGCATGCTCACTCTCTAAGAAAAAAGAAGAAAAAAAAAAAAAAGAAAAGAAATGGCATCCAAAAAAATACGAAGAACTCTCACACATAACAGGCAAATGAACAATGCATTTAAAAACTGGACAAAAATTCTGAACAGACATCTCACCAAAGAAGAGATCAGGGTGGCAAATAATCACACAAGAAGATATTCAACATCATTAGTCATTAGGAAAATGCCAATTAAAACATAGTAAGATAGCACTACACATGCACTAGAATAACAAAAGTCTTTTAAACTGAGATACCACCGCCTCACACCCGTCAGGACGACTACTATCAAACCAACAGAGACACACAGAAAGTGACAGGTGCTGGTGAGGTTGTGGACACACTGGCGCCCTCCTGCCCTGCTGGTGGGAGGCAGAAATCGGTGCAGACGCAGCGGAAAACAGTACGGCCGTTACTCGAAATACTTAAAATAGAATTACCGTATGACCCAAAGTCGGAGGGGGAGACGAACCATTAGAGACGATGGACTCTGAAAAACAAACTGAGGGTTCTAGAGGGGAGGGAGGTGGGGGGATGGGTTAGCGTGATGGGTATTAAGGAGGGCACATTCTGCGTGGAGCACTGGGTGTTATGCACAAACAATGAATCATGGAACACTACATCAAAAACTAATGATGTAATGTATGGTGGTTAACATAACAATAAAAAATTATTTAAAAAAAAAAATTACCGTATGACCCAGCGATGCCACTTCTGAGCATACACCCAAAAGCACGGAGAGCTGGATCTCTAGGAGATATCTTCACACCCACGTTTGTAGCAGCATTATTCACAATAGCCAGGAGGTGGAAGTGACCAGGTGTCCACAATGGGCGAAAGGACAAACAAAATGTGGTCTCTATATACAGTGGAATACTCTCTGCCTTAAATAAAAAGGAAATCTTGCCACACTCCGTAATATGGGTGAGCCTTGAGGACACCATGCTAAGTGAAATGAGCCAGTCACAAGAAGACAATACTGTAGGATTCCACTTGCACGAAGTGCCTAGAGCAGTCAAATTCATACAGCCAGAAAGTACAACTGTGGTCCTGGGGCCACGGAGGAAGAGGGAATCAGCTGTTGTCTAATGGGTACAGAGTTTCAATTTTGTAAGATGAAAAAGTTGCACAACAATGTGAATATACTTAACAGCACTGAACCATACATTTAAAAATGGTTAAGATGGTAAATATTATGTTGTGTTTTTTGCCAAAATTAAAAAAAAAAAAAAAACCACCCTGAAATACTGGAGAGCAGTGTAGAATCACTACAACTCTCTATACTGCTGATGGGAAAGCGAAACAGTACAGACACATTGTAAAACAGCTTGGCAGTTTCTCATAAAGTTAAAGATACACGTGCCGTATGATCCAGCCACTTCTCTATTAAGTATGTACATAAAAACTGTATGTGGGCGCCTGGGAAGCTCAGTCAATTAAGCGTCTGCCTTCGGCTCAGGTCATGATCTCAGGGTTCTGGGATCGAGCCCCGCATCGGGCTCCCTGCTCCACGGGAAGCCTGCTTCTCCCTCTCCTACCCCCCTGCTCGCGTTCCCTCTCTCGCTGTGTCTCTCTCTCAAATAAATAAATAAAATCTTAAAAAAAAAAAACTGTATGGGAGTATCTTTATTCACAATTGCCGAAGCCTGGAAACGATCCAAATGTCCATCAACTGATGAATGGATAGAGAAATTACAGTACCCCCATACAATGGAGTATTACTCAGCAATAAAAAAGAATGAACTACAGATAAATACAACGCAGTGAGTTGAATCATGTTCCCCTGAAAAGATATGCTCGAATCCTAGCCCCCAGTACCTGTGAATGTGATCTTATTTAGAAACAGAATCTTGACAGAGGTAATTAACTTAAGATGAGGTCATAGTGGATTAGAGTGGGCCCTTGATCCAATGAGTGGTGGCTTTAAAAGACACGGGGGAGGGGCACCTGGGTGGCTCAGTCGTTAAGCGTCTGCTTTCAGCTCGGGTCATGATCCCGGGATCTTGGGATCGAGCCCCATGTCGGGCTCCCTGCTCCGCGGGAAGCCTGCTTCTCCCTCTCCCTCTGCCAGCTGCTCTACCTATCTGTGCTCTCTCTCTCTCTCTCTATGTTTCTGTCAAGTAAATAAATAAAATCTTTAAAAAAAAATTAAAAAAAAAACACAACATATTCAAAGAAAGAATCCCGGGAAGGCCAAGAGCTGTTAGTTCATCCCACCCCCCGCTGCAACAGGACAGGGGCAGGATAGTAAGTTCTATCTATATTCCTCTAAAGTTGACTATCAAGTACCACAAAATCAGGATCTCAAACACAGCACACCTTGGCAGTGCTCTGATTTCAGAAGCATGAAATCCAGCATAAAGCAGAGACCTGCTTTATCTGGATACTGAATGATCCAAGAGGCCAATGCAGAAGATCATCTGGTCTCCCGAGGTAGGCCTCTGATACAGGCGGCAGGATAGTGAGAATCCAACACCAACGTAGGAAATTAAGACCCAGTATGACAGGGTACAAGTGTGTTCACATTGTGCTTTTTCTAATAACCGTTATATTTAAGAGCCCCCGTTAGCACTCTCAAACGGAAGTCTCTATTTTAAATAATACTTTTGCCTTATAGGACCATCATCAAACAAATACACCCAGCTTTCACAGCAAAGAAAGGAGATAGTGCTTTTAAAATGGACAGGCATCCAAATAAACCAACTTACACCTTGTCTTGAAGTTCCCAACTTCGACACCAAATCTTAAATTGTTTAATTAGAACTATGACAGGCTCCTAATTTTTCAGACGCGGATGTCTACTTCGGATCTTAACAAGAGTATCCTATACCATTGTCTGAAATATCGATTCCACGTTATTTTGAACAAAGTTCTTCAATGATATGAATGATTGAGGCACCGTGTGACACTGCACTAATGTAAATGCAAGAGACCCTATCTGGGCCTTAGATCTGCACTGTCCAATATGGTAGAAACCAACCACATGAAGGCAGGAAAATATGGCTAGTCTCAACGGAGACGTGCGGACGTGTACAATATGCACCAGATTTCAGAGTTAGTACAAATTTTAAAAAGAATGTGAAATATCTCATTTGTGTTTGTTATACTTATTATACGCTGAAATGATAATATTTTGGATCTACGGGGTTAAATAATAATTTATTTAAATAATATTAAAATTAATCGCACCTGTTTCTTTGTCTTTGATGTGGCTGCTAGAGAAGTCTGGATTACATATGTGACTCACAGTCTATTTCTCTTGGACAGTGCCGCCTTAGCCAGCCCATGAGATAATACTATGTCAGGCTATAGAAACTAGGAAAAAGAATGACCCGGCTTCCCGGAAGAACACTGAACTGTATCTAGGCCCAGTTTATCCTTCAAGATCCAATCTTTCTAAGGACAATCGCCGCCTATCTTTTTACACTCGATTCAGACTGGAGGAAGGAAGTATCTGGAGGTACCTGGAACTCCGCTGCGCTGCTCCGCAGCTGGCTCACGTTCGGTAAGGACCCGCCATGGTACTGCGTGAGGCGCAGTTGCTGAAGCTTCTGAAATTGGACCTGGAAACAAAGAGATTTCAAGACGGTTGAGAGATGACAGCAAAGATCTGAGGGAAGCATTGAAGTGCGGGTATTTTGTAGCAGAAAGGTTCAAGAGTGAAAGTCTTGGTTTCAGTTTCTTTTCTACCTAAAACCTTCAGGTTTCCAGTGCCTTCTGATTTTTGACTAGTCTATTTTTGGAAATAATCCACCCATGTTCCAAATGTCCCATGCGCCGTGATAGTGAGGTCTTTGCAAGGTCTTTGTGTGTGTCTAGGCGGGCACAACCTCTAACAGCAATAAAAGAGTCTCTTAAAGGAAAATTAAGCCATTCTCTAGGACTCTAACACATTAACTGTTCTCCCTTCTCCTGTCCAGTCTCCGCTCACATGTGTGCGTAATACCTGCATGGCAGTAGTCATAACTCAGGTATGATCCTGCGTGCTTCCATCTTAACTCTTTCTTAGGATACTAATCATCTTTAATGGCTATATTTCCTAAGAACACATTCCAAAGAGTGATTCCTGAGTCTCTGTGCGCGGGCCTTTCGACGGCTCTCAATACATAATGTCAAAATGCAGTCCCAGCGGGTATACATACGAAGTATGTATGAGAAAACAGTTTCACAAGAAAGCTAACACTGAATATCATCCTTAATTGGGGCAAAGGAGGAGGCCAACTCAACAGGTATCAAATGGCATTCCACTGCTTTCATATGCCTTTCTTCTGGAAGTTCTTCCTTGCTTCGTTTTTCAAAAGGCAATAAACTGGTAACAGTTCTTATAAACCCCAAAGTGGTCCAATTTGGTCTTTAAGAGTTCTGTTTCTAAAACAATAAATTACCTCTGTGGTTATATAACCCTTGGCACTTATAATTCACGTGGGGAAGAAAGAGGCAATGGGAACCCAGAAGGCTTTTATCATTTGATCTTTTGTCTAATAGTAATAAAAAGCTACCAGATAGAAGCCCCTAAGATGAGCCAGATACTGTCCTCAGATGCTTTGCCCAATTCATCGCTAACCCTCTCCACAACCATCAAGGGAGACCATATCATCCTGCTTTTACAGACCTAGAGACCCAGACTTAAGGAAGCTCAATATTTGCCCAAGGTCACACAGCTAGAGGAGGCCAAGCTATGGCTACCTCAAAACCCACATTCTTGGGTGCCTGGGTGCCTCAGGTGGTTAAGTATTTGACTCCTGGTTTTGGCTCAGGTTCTAATCTCAGGGTTGTGAGATCATCTCCACACTGGGCATGGAGCCTGCTTAAGATTGTCCCTCTCCCTCTCCCCACCCCTTCCCTCTCTTAAACACACACACACACACACACACACACACATTCTTATATCTGCCGTGGTCCTTTTCTTTGCTCCATTTCTCTCTCTTTTTTAGGACTTATTTATTTATTTGAGAGAGAGAACACAAGCAGGGAGGAGGGGCAGAGGGAGAGAGAGAAGCAGACCCCCCACTGAGCAGGGAGCCCAACATGGGGCTCAATCCCAGGACCCCAGGATCATGACCTGAGCCAAAGGCAGAGGCTTAACCGACTGAGCCACCCAGGCACGCCCACCCCCATTTCTTTCTCAATGATCATACTATTTACAAGCTCAGAGAAAAATGAAGTTTGGTTGATCAAAAGCATTGCTGGGCCTATGAAGCTCTCTGATTTTGTTCAGTCTTTATATTTATTATGAAAAATTTCAAATATATACAAAATAAAGATGAATACAATGAAACCCCATCTAATAGCTTCCAGCTTCCACAATGAGCTTATGTCCAGTCTTGGCTCATCTTTACCCCCTGACTCCCCATGGCACCCCACTGAAAGAAATCCAGACATTGTATCATTCCATATTTCAATATGCATCTCCAAAAGATAAGAGCCTACATCTGGCTGGAAGTCTTAAAGGCATACAAAACCCCTTGGCGGCCTTAACTTCCTTGTACCCGCAGTATTTGATTTCCCAAACACACTGCACTGGGAGGCAGCTATAATCTATTCATCAGAACCCAGATCCAAGAGTCAAATATGAGGAGGACATTGTTAGCCTTTTCCATCTATCAGCTGAATTATAACAATAAAGTCTCAGCTTTTGATCTTAACGTTTTCAAAGCACTTACCAGAAGCATTTGACTCTCTGTCCTTGAAATTCTCTAGACAAAATTCTTGGCCCCCTTGATCTCAAGTCTTTGATTCCTTCTTCCATCAATCCATCCATTTATTCACTTATACAAAAACTTTTAACTGTGTGTGTTAGGTGCTGTGCCAGGCACTGCCTTGCTAAGATGAATACACGCCAAGGTTCCTGCCTTCAGAGCGTTCCCACAAAGGCTTGAACTTGTACCCAAAAGCCTTGACACTTCAACCAAGCTAAGTTTCTAAATCTAGCTAGACAGCTGCCTTCACCTGAGCCTAAGGCCCTCCCACAACCTCCCATACCTGCTCTCCCTCCCAAAGTGCCTGTTCTAGAGTCTTCAGAGACTGCTGAGTTATGGGGGAAAGAGGACTGCATTCAGAACTGGAAGACCTGACTGTGTGCCTTGAAGCTGCCACGCGGTTGGGGAAATTATTCTGCCATCTACTTCACAAAGACAACGTAAGGATTAAAAGAGAGAAAGATATGACAGTGGGGTGTAAAATGGAAAGCTCTGCACAACTTCTCACAGTATCATCATCATTGTTGATATTCTCAGCTACCTCCTAAACCCCTGAGTAACCAGGATATATTCCTCTTTTGAAATCTACAATCGATGAACTAGAAAGAACTTTAGAGACTGTCTTCAACGCCGTCATGCTTCCTGAGGATGAAAATGGGCACCGAAGAATGAGTAGCCAAAGGCGGAGGTCACAGGTTGGCAGGTCAGGGGCCACGTTTAGAGAATTCTGTTTGACCCACATGATACTGACCCACTCAATGCTTTACACTTCCATTTTGAATTGGAAGACTGTATAAAAATCTGGATCTCCAACTTCTCTTGACAGAAAGATAAGGCAACAACGCGTGGAACTGAGAAGCAGCTGTCCCCCTGCACAGGGCTTGAGGCATCATTTGTCCAAGACCTCACTGCGCCCTACTATGCCTCCACCATGGCCTGAGATCAGCTACTACTTACTCATTCCTGGCTCCTCCACTCCTTTTCCCTACATGCCTCACCTTGAAACTTAAGTTAGCAACCTCCAGCTTGCAGCCACACACTTTAGGGGAACGTCCTTCAATGTCTATATGAAATGAGAGCCACGCCTCACTAATTCCCTTTTTAAAAAGTCTCACAGCAGCCAATCCCAAACAAAAAATCTCAGCAGACCTTTTTATAGAAACTGACAAGATAATCCTAAAATTTACAGATCTGCAAAAGACTAACCTACAATAGTCAAAGCAATTTTTAAAAAGAGCAAAGTTGGGGCTCCTGGGTGGCTCAGTCGTTAAGCGTCTGCCTTCGGCTCGGGTCATGATCCCAGGGTCCTGGGATCAAGCCCCGCATCGGGCTCCCTGCTCAGCGGGGAGCCTGCTTGTCCCTCTCCCACTCCCCCTGCTTGTGTTCCCTCTATGTGTCTCTGTCAAATAAATAAAGTCTTTAAAAATAAATAAATAAGTAAAATAAAAAACTAAAAAGAGCAAAGTTGGAAGGCTGTTAACTTGTTTCCAGACTTACTATAAAGCTACAGTAATTCAAGCATGTGCTACTGTCAGAGAGATGTAGGGATCAATAGAACAGAAGAGAGAGTCCAAAAACAGACCCACACAATATCTGGCCAGTTGATTTTTGACAAAAGTACCATAGCAATTCAATGAGGAAAGTGTTTTCAACAGATGCTGCTGGTATAAGCAGATATCCTTGGGGGGCGGGGGGCGATTAAGGCAGTGGGGCACACAGACATTCAGGGGTACAGCCACATTCAAACCCCAGCTCTGCCGCTAATCAGCCATGCAACCGCACCTCTCAAGCCTCAGTTTGCTCATCTGCAAAATGAAGAATAACCTAGATACACATTCCCTAGGGTCATTGCGAAAAACCACAGGAGATAATGAATGTAAAGGACTCAGCACAGGACCTGGCAAAGAGACTGCACTCACTATTTAGCCCAAATCCAGTATGTCTAGTCTTTTCTCCTCTCTCTCAAGACTTTATTTATTTGTCAGAGAGAGAGAGAGAGCACACAAGCAGGGGGAGGGGCAGAGGGAGAAGCAGGCTCCCAGCTGAACAAGGAGCCCAACGTGGGACTCGATCCCAGGACCCCGAGATCATGACCTGAGCCGAAGGCAGACGCTCAACCGACTGAGCCACCCAGGCGCCCCTCTTTTCTCCTCTCTCCTCTCCTCACTGCTACAGAACACATCTAATATCTGTTTGCTTTAATATAAAAATGATTCTCCCCAAATATTCAAGCTAAATTAACACTCCAGGCTGATGTGCCGTGTTTACCCTGTGGTTTCTGAAAACTACAAGTTGTCCTTCAAAGTCGAGCTTCTGGAACAAGCTCCCGATCCAGTCTCTCTTTCCTTCCGTTTGGTCCTGGATACCTCACAACCTCCATTCCAACCACCCCACTGTGAACACAGGGGCTCTCACCCAGAATACCAATGGCCTCCACTTGACTAAACCAAAGGACACGTCCTTATCATGTCAGACTGAGTCAACAGCACTGGGCTCAGCTGCTTGACATGCTCTCCTTTCCCTCTCTGGTTGCTCTTTGGTCTTTTTTGCTGGCTCCCTTCCTCCACCTCCCCTTTACATGGTGGGGCTCCCTGGGCTTCTCTTGGTCCTCTCCACATTTCACTCTATAGCAGGACTCAAAAACTCAAAGGTCTGCAGGTGCCAAGTGCAGAAGAGAAGTGAAGTAGCTGGAATCATTGTGAGGAACACCACAGGGAGCAGTGGGGACTGTGGCAAACTGAACACATACATGCACTTTCCAATGGGGGAAGCCACTATGGGAGCTCCCGGCAACTGCTGTCATGCAGAAATGTAGTGAGTATTGTTAGATGATTTCATTTTTCAAAAGAAGCTAGAATCCAAACTTTAGTATAAAATCCCAATATTCACTGTTGGTCCTAATTTAAAAAAAAAAGCATCCAGGTACACACACACCCTACACCCCCACAAGGACCAAATTAGAATTCAGGTCACCAATTTGCAAGATGTGTTCTCGGAATTCTTCTTAGGCAGCACAACTACACACCAAAGGTTCCCACATTTCTATCACTAGTCTAGACTTGCCTCCTTATTTGGAGATCCTTATATGGCTTCAGGGCCATATAAACAATGGCCTGCTGGACCATCTCTACCTCAGTGCCCCGCGGTCTCCTGACACTGAGGCATCTGCTCCCCCTCTTAATGGAGGATACCTTGAATGGCTCAAGTCTGAAAGCCAGGCAACACGCATTCACCAAGTTTGGTCATTTCTAGC